TTCAACTAACTGGACTGGCTAGCCAGGACAGGACTGACGTTTTTGTTGGTAAAATGACTTGGAATCAATTCATAAACCTATCATTCATCCAATATTAACATCCACCGACTGAGTGTGAGACAGCGGTTGCTTTGCTAGACTCCTCAAGTACAAAACCTAGTTCCTCCACAGGAGATCTAACTGTCTGGGGAGATGAGCTGGCTGCTCATATTAAAATAACTACAAATAAAAATGTGCTAAGAGCTAAACCAGTGAAACACGAAGGAGTAGAGGAGTTCAAAGGAGAAGCTCTTTCTGGGCGGGGGGTGGTGGTGATGGTTTAATGACAAAGCAGTGATTTCAGCAGGTTATATGAACCAAGACCACCTTGAAATTCTGGTGCATAGATACAGAATTTTAGGGCGAAAGCGCAAGGAAGAGTGAAGAGATAACAAGATCCCAAATAAGAACCGCGGAGCAGCCGCTGTGGCGGTGCCGGCGCAGGATGCCACCCAAGGCCGAGGAGGGGCAGGTGAAGCCAGGAGGCCGAGTCCCGGGCGCTCTGGCTCGCCTGGAGGCAGAGCACTGTCCAGCGGCCCTCTGACGGTGCCACGCGGAGGCCACAAGGTGTCTGGCCCACTCTGGGACCTTTATTCCCCTGTATTGTTATAAGGATCCCACACAAACTATGCCAGATTCTAACACACTGACCCAGACTTAAATCGTCACGAGACTCACGCTGGAGAGTATAGGCGGCTTGAAGTGGCTGTAGTTGCTCCCTCTGTTTTTGCCAAGTGGGAGAAAAGAGAGGATGTCAGAAGAAATGGTAATCAGCAAGACAGAAAGTGGAAGCTCTCCTTTTATTAGTGATAACAGCTCCAGCCCAGAGAACAGAACCCTTCCCAAGTTAGTGAGGCACACTGGAAGGTGACTTTTTAATGTCAGTCTGGCACACAGACCTTGAGCTACAGGAAAGCATCGACAACAAAACAGAGTTCAGGGCATGACACGTCGTTTTAGTAAAATGGGGATAAATATTCGGAGACTAACTTTACATGAAGTGAAAGCTTTACAAAACTTACTGTGAAATGCATTTAACTAACAAATTGCTTTAAAAAAGACTTTCTAGAGTAGACTCATAAGTAGATTTTTATATTTTGAAGAAAAGGCTAAGCAGACTCAATTATCACTTAACTTTCAGGAAAATTATCTGCCTACGGAGGCAATGGAAACCGCATTACCCACATCAGCCAGCCCTTTGGCAGTAAAGAGAACACAGTGGGCCAGCGGGGGGGCCGGGGGGCGGTGACAATGATGACTCCCACGAAAGGACAGTGATGCCCACAAAACACTCCTTATACCAGGCATTGTTTCTTGGTGCTTTGACATTTATCTTATTTAAACTTCAAGACATTTTAGTCACACAGATATTTTACAAATGAGGAAAATGAGGTTTCAAAGAAGTCAACAACTTGCCTGAAACCACCCTGAAAGGATCTACAACACTATTAGAAATTAACTCAATTGCAACATTAAAATTCTATTTTTCCCACTTGACTGCCCCTCTTGGAAGATGAATCCTGAAATCTTGATGCAGGAGAGAAATGCTGTGAGCGCCTATGTTATTTATAAAAAGTAGGGCTGATGCCTGGCTTAGACATCTCCCCAGTCGCACTGACTGACATCCGCTCTAAAAGAAGGGCCCCGCTCAAATGCAAACATCCAACTCCCCTGTCAGCAAACCCCACACAGAGAGGAAGCGCTGCCTCTCCCTCGCCACCCTGTCCATGAGCACAGGGCATGCCGGTGATGGACCCAGCTATGGCTTTCACATGCATTTATTTGTGATTGTTGGTTTCCTGTCCCTGGGGAAGATAAAAGTTTTCCTAAAGTAACTAGGATGATGTGATAAAAGACAAATGAAAAAATGGAGTGGAATCTGCTACAAATAACTTACACAAAAATCAAAGCAACGGCAAACAACAGCTATAACTGAAAAAGACTTATTATTTCCTCCTGAGCTGAATTCCCATCTGCTTTTAAATGGCAACATGTTTTTCCATTAACTGGGAGCTACAGCCAAGATGCCAGAGACAATGAGGTCCTGGCCACAGCGGGTGGCGGGCGCAGGCGTGGTGGGAAGATGCCGCCTGCCAGCCCCCAGGGGTGCTCCCCAGTGGCCGCATAGCTCCCCTGGCTGGCGACAAACCCCCGCCCCCCCGCCCCGGGGCTCTCCTGAGGATTACTGAAGTGCTCTAGTTCTCTGGACAGACGCCCTCTCCACAGGAGACCACGGACTAACTCAGGGTGTAGGAGCTACTTCAAACACTGGGCCTATGGAAGCGTCTACAGAATGAGGTTGACCGGGCAAAGTAAAGCACAAGATGGAAAGAAAGTCCTTTTTTAAAGTACCTACCTAGCCCAATCATTCAAAGTACCACCCGTATCCTCTCCAATCCAATCATCCTCTACACTGAAATTAAAATTAAAAAACACTCACTACAGTTAAAATAAACATTTTATGTTTGTAAAAAACAGACTGTCAGCAATTCCCTCATCTCTGGCTTATCTGGCCAAATTCTAGTTCATATAGCTAATAGGGTACAATTACATAAAATTACCTTGATATAATTTTGATTAATCTACTCTCCCGTGAGGACAACTAATTGATCTGCGGTTTCATTTCTGTACCAAACATGGCCAGAAAGACACTCTCCAACTCTGAAGAAGCGGCTGTGCCCATAGCGGGGTACAGTGCCGTGGGGCTAGAGGGCTCCGCCCATCCCACACGAGAACGAAGGTCTGTTTTCCCTAAATGTAATTTTGAAAATCTTTTCTTTTCTCCAGTTTAATAAGTATTTGCTAACCATGGGCCATGCAGCTGGCTCTCTGCTGAAGGGTAAGGCCTTAGCCCGGGCAGGAAGCCCATCAATTTTGTCAGCAGTGAGGCAGCGCCTGGCAGGAGTCTGGTGAGCGAGGCTCTGGCTTTGAATTTGTTTCACCACTGAAACTAAAACCTAAACTGATTTTGGTCTCAACGTCACAGCCCCATTTTCATTTTGATGGAGAGGGGGGAAAAAGATGAGATCTTGTATTTTATCTGAAGCTAAATTTTATCTTACATTTCCTGTTTATTAATTTTAAGAGTTTAAAAAAATGATAATAGTTCTCAAACAATAGGGCACCCTCCCTCAAAAAAGACCCCCCAAATATGACACAAACCTGTCTTGTCCAAGTTGAAAACCCTAGAACTAGTAAGATACAGCTCTGGAATCATTTCTACGAAGCTGTAGTAATATACTGATGATAATCAGGGCCACCGTGGGACACCCTGCCCCTACCCCAGCATTATGGGACACAAAAGATGTAATCCAAGGATGAACGCAATTTTCTGCTACTTTCCCTGTGACTATTTTAGAAGATCAGATATAAATATTGATCAGGAACGCACGTGCCTGCACCTCAGGCTACACGAGGCGCGCACCACGTAAGAGCCAGCAAGCAGGCGCAACCGCCAGCATTGCCGAGCTCTCGCCTCTCCGCAAGGCAGAGCCTCGCTGGCTTTGATTTTTGTTTTGCTCTTCTCTGTTACTGCCATAAATTACTTCAAAGTGAGGAAGGTACATTTATACCTTGCTAACTACTCTTCCTCCTCACTCAAGTTAAGTGAAAGATTTATGGTGTCTTCTTGCCGCTTCCTGTAGTCTGACGTATCATGCACACTATGCCAGCCCTTGGTCTCACATCAAAAAGTGAACTCCCGAAGTGCGGCAGCAGTCAGTCAACAGTAGCTACATGTTCATTTTAACGTGATGGATGGTCATGCCAAAGAGATGCTCATTAGAACTATTGTTTGACAGCACTTAAAAGTAAATGCACTTCATCTGCTTCGCAAGCTACTTTCTGCACGGCTTTCCCTTCACCCAGTGCAACGGAAAAACCTAAGGGGGGAAACCAACTCGACATAGTTCATACCTGAGGCAGGGCAATGAGCATACTTGGAATCCATTTGGTAGTTGCTATTGGCCATGACGGTGTGACAGACGAAGTTCAACCGCACGTGTAAAATGACCTATGAACTCTCCCAGTACCACTTACAATCTGTGATGTGTTCATCTCTGGGTTTTACAGAAAGAGATAAAAAGAACAGCAAGCAAAATAGAACGCACAGTCCCAGTCTGCTCGATAACTCAGAATGAAAAGAGTCTACAATATTTTGCTTTAAAAATATCAATTTCTCAGCACAAACCTGTATCAGTGGTATTCAGAAGATATTTTTGTATTGAGTTTGTCCTTTTCTTAAGAAATGCTTGTAGAAAGATGCATAATTTTAATAGAATTGTATGTTGTAAATAAAAATAGCCCAAGTAAGCAGTTGCTAAGGACAAAAGAAAATGTTTATCTGCCATACTGAAAATTTTCCGATTTTCAGAGTTCTAGCCGCTCTTGTTAAGTATATTCTCAGTAAAGGGCAGACTGTCCCCTTTACAGTTTTTATAACAGAATTTTTTTTGTTAATCCACAAGCAGACATACTTTTTCAAAATGATAAAAGATAAGAATATACTCTTTGCCAAGCCTTTTGAACTGCAGAGTGCTTTCATTATACCCTAATTTCACTTTCATGGTCTCAGTGAGAAAATGGTAGAGGTGGTTGCATGTGATTTCCATTCGATAGGTCAAGGGACCAAAGTTCAGAGAAGTGTGTATGGTTGAAAGCTGCGTACCAAGAAGCTCCAAAGAGGACTCCTGCTTCTAGTCCAGTGTTCTCGCCACTAGATCTGGCTAGTACTCTGAAAACTACATTATGAGCACTAACAGGAGCCGAGTAAGAAGAACTGAGGTGTAACAGAGGTCAGGTAAAATGCAATTTCATTTAGTGATCATCTGTCATGCAGTGCATTTCCTGTCTTGATTGTTTAATATACAATTATTTAAAACAGCTGGCATCAAGCAGACTTTTTGTTAATGGCCCCAAACCGCCGCTTTGCTCCCACCAAGATCTTTTGAAAACTTTCTTACCTCTGCTCCTGAATATGTATCCGTTTGGAGGATGAGTTCGTTCAGATCAACATCCTGACCGATTGGCATAGAGTGAAACTGCAGGTTAAATATTTCCCTCCTTGTGGCTGCATCTGGTAAAGGCACATAGATGATTCTATCGATTCTTCCAGGACGCATCAGTGCCTGGAAAGAAGATGGGGCAATGAGGGTCCACCAGGGTCAGTGCCGACGCCCACAGGAACGATGCCCAAAGCCGGGGACGCCTACAATCTCGTGGATAACCACTATTCGTGATTAGTAAACAAAACACCTGCTGGAGAGTCTACAAACTATTTTAAAGATTCAAATCAATAAACACTGTTCAGCATACTTTTGAAAATAGAAAAGCACTATTTCTGAGAGGCTTTTTGCTCCTCAGCCACTGTTAGGTCAGTAAAAGATGACTACTGTTTTTCAGGGGAATGCAAATATGACCTGCAGTCACCATAACAAAAGAGATGTTTTTGGTAACTTCCTGCAATAACTCTTAAAATATGGGATAAGCTGCTTCAGAGAGCCCTCAAAAAACACATCGACTCTTTCTAGAACTGAATGTAGTCATACACACTTTCCTCACATTTTATTGGAGGCTAATGCTTAAATTATCTTAGAGCTAATAAATACATCCATTTAGAAATATTAAGCATGCATTATATATCAGACACTGTTCTTAGTACTAGGAAATAGTAAAATCAGCTGTGATAATGGTTACATGTCTATGAACATAATACGAAAAACCACTGAATTGTATACACCCATTTAAATGGGTGAATTTTATGGTATGTGAAGTATATCTCAATTAAGCTATTAAAAGAGATCAGGGTTTAAAATGTGCACCTGCGCGTGCGTGCGTGTTGGGGGATGGCAGAAAGCCTGCGTGGGGAGGTGACTGGTGCTGTCACCCGAAGGAGCCAGCTGGAGTGCATGCCACTTGTAACAAGAAGCTCCTGGGGGGTTGTAAGTAGGAAGATGAAAAGGTAACATTTACATTTAAATTAAAGATCATTCTTGTGGGATAGTATCAAAAGGTCTAACTGACATGTAATCAAGAGTCCCAGAAGAAAAGGAAAGAGACAATGGGGCAGGAAAAAAAATCAAAAAGAGCCAAAACTTCCCCAAATTGGTAAACAAAAAAAAATTTACATGATTAAGAAGCTCAGTGACTCTCAAGTAAATACAAAGAAAACCACACCTGAACACATAAAAGTGCAGCTGCTGAAACCCAAATATAAAGAAAACAGAAGCTTGCCAGACTGAATACAGGGACAGTGGAGAGTGGAAACCGGGGAACGACATCATATATGGCATTTCGTGAAGATTTAAGAGACACTCACTTATGAACAGTGCAAAACATTTCTATATGTACCCTTTTTAGGATGAAGTATCCAGAGAGAAGATGTAATAGAAGTAAATACAGAAACCAAGGAAAAACTCAGAATTAACAACTTCTAGTTAAAAAAACAAAAGGGGGGAAAAAAAAAACACAGACCCTGAACACATACTGGGGCTGTGCATGGAGCATTTCAGAAGCTATGAAAAGAAGCAGGAAAGGAAGAGGCAAGCGGAGAGCCGTTAAGTAGCCATCCTCTTTAAACCCAGAGATACAGAAATGTAAGATCAAGAACCCGTGTTTTAACATTCCAACCTCGTAGTGTTGGAACAGTCATTCTTTTACTTATTTAAAGAGCATTCACATCTGCCATGTGCCCGGTTTGGGATCCAAAGGTAACTCTCATCCCCTGAATTCAAGGGGCTCAGTCAAGGCCTGGGGGTAAACACACAAGAACAGGAACACCGATGTGGCATCTAAAAGTGAGGCAGAGCCGCCAAGTGCCAAGCGCTGTAATTTGAGTTAGACATTCATCCTCTGAGTAGGTACTAGGACAGTCAAGGATTTTAAAGTATCTGGATGTTTAAATGGTTTGTCCAGACACACAGCTAATAAATGGTGGAGCTAGAATTTTAACCCAGTAAATTTTAACCCGTTAGACTAATTCTTTTGCCCTCCCTTTTAACCTGTATGCCGAATTACAAGTTCCATACTTGGAAGAGTCATAGAAGATTACAGAAAAGAGAAAACGTTGAAGCTGAAACTTGAACCTAGAGGTGGAGCTGGCCTGACAGCTAGAGAGAATCTGTCTCTGGGAAGGGAGGGAAGGAGGTGTGGGTCTGGGGTGAAGGCAGCCTGGAGGGTCTGGCCGGCTGTGCGCAGAAGCGCCTGGGAGCCAGGGCCATGAGGGAGCTGCAGCCAAGGTCGGAGGGCTGCGTGACACCGGATGGCCTGAGGTCCTGGCTGGACTTTGACTTTTCTCTGTGAGGCCCCATTCATTAATGGTTAGGAACTAGGAAGTTACAGCATTTTCAATTAGAACGGTCACTTTAGCAGTGATGTGGACGGGGGAGGGAGAAGGAGAATAAAACGGCTGCTATGATACTCTAAATGAGATTGTGTTGGCTTGACTTGACCGAGTAAACATTTGTTGAGTGCTTTATCTGAGCCGTTGCTGAGTTTACAGTGTGGAATACAACAATACACACCTGCCATGATATGTAGCCTACAAGCTGGCGGGAAAGTCAGACAGTAAAGACGCACAAATATATAATAAAGAAGATGGAGGAGAAATGAACATTTCAAAAGAGATATCAGAGGTATCATGAACCACACCTATTAATCATTGACTTTAATAGGCAAAAGAGATGCCTAGAATAAGTTCAAGGTTTCTTTGAAATAAATCAGAGCTGTTATGAAGGATCCATCTCTCTCCCCAATTTCCGGAACTATCTTCTCCATGAATCATGATACGTTGGTAAGTGTTTTACTGGAGTGAAACATAAAGGCTCAGCGCTGCTTTCGTTTTCAGAGGAAGGCGCTCGCATGCTTACACACACCCCTGCTGAGCATTTTAAATGGATGGCAGCCATAGGACCTGACTTCTCAAAGTGTATGTTTTAAAACCTTGGTCTGAACAAGTATTCTATGGTAATTAAATTAGATTTGAACATTGATAAAATATGAAATCACAGGTGTCACATTTCAGAATTTTTTTTTTCTTTTGAATTTCAGAAGCTTCAAAAAGGGAAGGCAGCCCTACAACTGTGGTATATGGTTGGATAAATAAGAATCATGAATGTGAAATACCAGAAATGCTTTTGAATCAGACAGACAACTAATAGTATTAATTCAGTTTATTAGTGCAACTACTAAAATAGTAAGAACACATTTTCAGTAATGCCCATGTAATATCCATGCTGGGCGCGTCCCGGAGTAGGAGTCCGCAGCGGAGCCCTAGAATTGGGGGCGGAAGGTCTGGGGTGCACAGGCAGGTTTCAGGTGAACTCCGTGGAATCGTCTGTAATTGTGTGGGGATGTTTTGTCTTCTGGGTGGTTTGAGGGGAATTTTTGTCATATGGATGTAGGCATCTCTGATTAAAAAACCACCTGCATTTTCACACACAAGGAAACTGAGGCTGACAGAGGTACAGAGACTTGCCAAGGTTTTGAATAAGTTCTCTTGAAAAGGCAGTTTCCCTGTGATTTCTTAAAAAATAAGAGTTTTTAACATAGAGGCTGTGGTATCTATGACCTTGGGACCAAAGGGTTCAAAGTACTGGGTTGGGCAAAAACTCTGTAAAGTTTTTTCTGTAAAATAAAAGACATATTTTTCATGTTCACCAATAGCTGTAGTGATATGGCTATTCTGAGCATGTTGGCTATGTCCTACTATTGGCTTCTCGTGGGTAGAGGACAGGGGTGCTGCTAAATGCCTTCCATTGAATAAGAGAGCCCCGCAGCAAACGATTATTTGGCGAAAATGCTGATAGTACCGAGAAACTTCGCAAACCACTTCTGACACATTCAGTCACAGCTCCTTCCATACACTGTACAAATCTTTTCTTGTGTTTCAGTTGCATTTTTACCTTTCTTGAAATAAATAAAGCCAATAGGCCAAAATGTTGCATATTTTCTTTCTTCTTCAATATTTAAGATGGTTGCACAAAAATTCACCCATTTTGATAAGTTTTTAAGTGCACACTGCTATGACAGCTGTTATAATACAATCTAACAAAATTGTTCCTAGTGAATTTTAAGACAACTAAGCACTGCTAAAGCCATTGTTCAGAAAAAAATGTAACCCAGTTTTTGGTCAACCCAGTATCAGGAAGCCTTGGCTTGGTTTTTCACTGAGAGCTGTCTTGCAGTGATTTTAAAATAACAGAACTTGCCATCATTCAGACTAGGTTCTTCCACCTTAATATGCCAGGACAGCATTCTTAAGGACATTCTAGGAGGGGTGTTAACTCGTTTAGGGTTCCACAGGAAGGAAAGCTCCTTTTTAAAGACCACTTTCACTGACAAGAGCAGGCCAGAAAAAGCCTCGCTGGCTGCTGGCCCAGACAACACCGCCGCCCCTGAGGAGCGCTCAGCCCTGAGCTGTCCAGGGCCTTGGGGAGAAAGCCCAGGTGCGCCCTAAGTGTTGTTCTCGCGATTTAGGTATGTCCTTTGCTGTGTTGTTCTTTCAGCGATTAGAAAGGAAGGTTTAAAATAGCCGAGAATATTTTCCCAGAAGGGTGAAAAGGAAAACTTCAATTTTATAAAGAAATAAACTAAGCTATTCATAGCTGTATCCCTGGCAACTAAACTAAGGTCTAGCACATAGTAGATGTATAGTAATTTTTTTATGAAAGAATTATGTGCATTTAGTATCTATGTCATGTTTCAGAACAAGAACTTTTTTTTCATTTGTCCCCAAACAGTGAGCTGCACACCGTGCCGGCAGGACAGCAGAATAGAGGGACCGGTTCGGCGCCGAGAGCCCAACTGCAGCCTGCCTCCTGCCTTTCCTGTGCGGTCTCGGCCTCATTTTCTTCTGCCTAGTGAGGCGTGACAGTATCTACCACACAGGGTCTGGAGGGCTATTAAGTGCAAAAGGAAGACACAGATAAAGCAAGGATTCTTTCAGATAGATTTGTATTTGAATTCTGCAAAGAGAACGACGATACTTTTGCCAAATCAAAATCTGGATCTTACCACATGCCACAACCTCACTCTGCAGCTGCCGGACAGGCTTTTTCAACATTTCCAATCGCATTATAGGTATTGAGTGACTCGGTTACTCCTGGACTCAAGGGGGTTTTTGGGGCTC